TGTAGGATATCTTAGTAAACTTAACTGAACGTAGAATATTGGATATACTATAGTTTAATGCCGAAATTATGTAAATTTGGTCAACGAATTACCCACACTCCCGTATAATAGTTTTGAGTATAAGAGTTTCATAGTTTTAAAATTGTTTGAAAATATGTTCTTCAGTATACCTGAGCCATGTCCAAAAAAAAAGCAATCGGCCCGGATATTTTCTGTCCCCAATATACCCTACATAGCGATTTCCGACTTCCCACCTGTCATAAAACCGTTTAGGTTAGTCAAAATATGTGAAATTTTTATAAAATTCAGGGGACAAGCATTCTTAAAACTTATGAAGGTATTTCACCAGGTTTGATCCTTGCAAGTTGCAAGAGTAAGAAATATTTGGTTGCACCCGAACTTAGCCTATTCTTACTTGTTTACTTTATTATTAAATTATTTTATTGTTGTATGTATTTACAGATGATCATAAATAATAGTTATTTGATAAGATACTGTTTTTTTTATCAGGGAGAAATTACTAGCGAGTTTTAATTGTATCTGGCAATATATTTGTCCGCTTTCCGGGAACTCAGTGATTCTCCACAAACACCGTTTTCGCTAAGAGAATATAAGAGTTATACACATATTTAAGAGGAATTATATACATATATCTGTAGGTACAATTGTGAGCGTATTCATGCTTTTATTACTTAACACCTGTGCATGCTGAGAATTCTTATAAAATAGTTGACAAACTCTTTATAGTTCGCGATCATTTCATTTGAGTCGCCATGAATTTTGGATTTTGATGAAGATCTCCTTGATGGCCGCCGCAATACCAAATGCCTAGAGAATACCAAATGCGAAGGAAGTCAGTAACCTCGATAAGTGTAGCGCAGTGATAATAAACAAAAGCAACAAAATCATACTAGGCAATGGCTTAAAAGTTAAAGCGGAACAGAACCTTTTGCTTCCAGCGCATGTCTCAAAATAGCGAATGTGAAGGAAAGAGGAAAAGTAAGTATGAGTTGTTGCTTTAACTATTACATGATATTTGAATTAAATACATATTTGATAAGGAAAATTTTATAAATAGGTAAACATATTTTTTGCTAATCTCAGCCCGTAAAATTATGACTAACCTTATTGTTTTATTAGAGTTGATATTTATTCATGTGGGTATGGATATGGTTATATAGGTACATTTTATAACGCGATCTGTTTGTTCGTGAAAAAACAAGCTTTTGCTAAATTGAACAAATCTTTTACTTTCGCTTTTAATTTAGTAAATTCTTACTTATCTTGCTTTACACAAAGCCTGGACTATACTCATCTACCTTTTGGTATCAACACCATTTGTTTACTCACTGAAAAGTGAACTTTCGTCACTCCAAATGATATTCCTCATGAACTCATTGGATATGGTTCTTGTGTAACCCTCATTTACATCTAACCATTAATTTAACCATTTACTTTCATTGAAAATGTATCACCGATTTTTTGCTTCGCCGAGTTTTTGTATATAAGCTGGTCAAAAGTCCACGAACTGCTAATTTTTTTATTTAAGTTTGAGAAATTTCGTCATACGTAATTTTATAATATTATAATCGCACACAACTTTGTTAGCACGAGCATACTACACATAAGAGTATATACAATATTAATTCAAGAGTGCCATTATTGCTTATTAAAATATTTTTGCGGTTCATCGCCGTTGTGCAAACGCATAGCAGCTGGAATTTTTTTTTATAACTTTTGATAAATCGAAACTGGAAAATTGCAATTAAATTTGTAAAACTCCCCGCCACTAAATTGAAGAGGACCTTGAGAGCACTCACATACTCACATATTACCAGATGTGGCAAAAATTCATATTTCAGCTGACAGGCCAACCAACCCACTCCAACCGCAACTGATCATTATTATTTGATTATTTTCAAATTGACATTAAACCATGTAAAATTTATTTACAAATTAGCTGCTTAAACGCACACACTTATGTACGCTTCTATGATTTTATGTTAATGTCCAATATTACTGTTAAATTGACCAACACTTTGCTTGATGAGCCGCCACAATGAGATGTTCAGCTTGGCCAGCTAGCGAATGACTCGCACTGCCACTATAATCACAGACGACCGGTTAGCTACACCCACAATGGTATGCAATGGCTCGAACTACAGACATACTTACATGTATAGACATATGTATATATATTTGTGTATCTGTATGTGCTCTGCCACACGAAAGCGAAAACAACAATAATTTATAAATATATTATATCAGAGTTGTGGGTAATCACTTCATTTGCTTGCTTTCTGAGGCGAAGATTTTTTTACATGCTTAATAAGATGACACACATGTCTGCTGCGACTTATCGCTCCGCTGTCATGTTTATCTGCATAGAGTTTAAATAATTCGACAGTTAAACTATGAGTCCGCTGGTTTTACAGTGCGAATGAGAGGAAGTAATTGTGAGTAAAACTATTATATGTTGGCAAGCAATTTGAAGCAGTGATCTTTAGAAAAAAATTCTACACTGTATAATATTTTAAATTTTTTTTTTATAAAAACGTGGATTGAGTTTATATAGTTATATTTTTAAATCCAATTATTGTTTACTAACTGCACTTCATTTTACAATTTTAATGTTTAATCACCACCTACTATTGTTATGTGTTAAAAAGAAGAGCTACAAATTAATACTATTAAAGCCGTCTTCGATTCGCCACTGCTCTACATGTTAATCAACAATAAGCGAGTTGAATACGACACAAGAGAGTTACCCCTACCTCCATTGCTACACAATTTGGTTTTTCAGATTTTAGACAAGTTCATTCAATCATCGCCAAAATTAATGAAGCTATTTCATATGTAGAAAATTAAAAATCTTAAGTTTTGGAAACGTAGTGAAAATCAAACCTTAATAAATTAAATTTCAGAAGCAAAAAAAAACTAAAGAAGTACTTTAAATATTGGGTCCAAATTTTAAAATTTTAATTTCACATGAAAAAAACTGTACAATAGTACTACTTAAAGTATAACCTATCTGAAGCTGTAAAATTTTCCATCCTTCTGGCAATTTGTGGTTTCCATCACAAAAGGACTCCACCGAATTTAGAATAAATCAAGCTAATTTTGGATACCCTGTGCTGATGTGAACCTTTTTAAAGTGAGGGTGTGGTCAAAACAGAAAATGATTGTCTCTTGTCAAATCGCTACGGTTTTCGGCAATTGCTCGCTTCAATTTAATGAGCTGTTCTTGATAGCGTTCCCCATAAATGGGTTCACACTGTTTTGGAAACTCATAATACATCACACCCTTCTGATCTCACCAAATACATGGCATTACCTTCGGGTCATGGCTGGTTGGCCTAGGTTCACATATGATTTTTTGCGTTTGGGTTGCCGTAATAGATCCATTCTTCTTCACCAGTCTGAATCCAATGCACAAGCGACATCCTTTTGTAGCGTTCAAGCAGCATTTCTGTCATGCCAAATCGTCCTTCAAAGTATCTTGGCTCTAATTCGTGTGGCATTCAATTTCCTTGCTTTTGAATGTATGCTACTGCTTTTAAACGTTTTAAAATCACTCCAAAAGATTTTGCGCACTCTTCATCGAGTAATGCTACCAATTGTCATCATCTTCAATCATTCAAACCACTTTTGGCACAGTCGCTCAGCGAGAGCTTCTTCACCATAAACTTCCTCCAAAATACGATGACTTCCGGTTGAGGTTTCCTTCATATTTAAGTAATGAAGAAAAATTTCCCTAAAAAACACTTTTTCAGGCACAAAGTTCAACATATTTCAGTAAAAAAATTATTGTTGTTTTCGATTCAAATGAATGACTCTTACTGAAAAAGACGAATAAGAAGACTAAAGAACCGTAGCTTTCCTACTCATGTTCGGAATATTGGAACAATGGAATAATAATCCCGTTATGTTTTACTAATTCTTGACTCTAACTTACCTTACCTAAGTTCTGAAACGACTTAATCGATTACTGATCTTTAGATAACTATTATGTTATGTATAAATAGTTGGCAACTCTGCATATACCTAAATTCACGTACCGATATTTCACAATAATCTCCTTCAATTCATTTAAAAATACTTGGATGATGTCCCCTGCTAATTTTTGTAGCTGTCAGTAATCTATTAGGTTTTTGAAATAAATGATTTTCTCTTGAAATATGTATCTAGTAGGAACCACGTAGCAGAACTAACATGTTGAAAAAAAAATGATATAAGGTAATCCTTCGATTAATTGTATGTATATAATCCATATATAAACTGTGCTTAATTACATGCATCACTTTGCGCATGCGTGAATACATAGAGGGGTGTAAAACAATCTAAAACTTTTACATACATCAATTAATTAAGTTTTAATTTATGTATCATAATATGCTTAATAATTCTCACCATAAATGGAGTAGTGTGACAAACAATTTATTGCTGTGAGATTATAGAGATAATTACTCTTATCTCAATACTGATTGATTTAAACACTTCATTAAATTATTACAAATTAGAAACAATTTTTAGAATGGTTTTTTAATTGTCTCGCATCACCGTTACTCATTGCGAAAATAACGTATGTTTATTCATCTCATTTGTATAAATTACTCGAATAGCCACATTTGTGACCAAATCATGTTTACATGTAATTGAGGTTATCGATTGGCGGTGTTTGCCGCTTTGACTTTGGCTGCTGCTTCCTTTAATGCTGACAGTTCCAACGCCACCGTCCACACTATGCACCGCTACCACAATTGCTGCTGCTAGTGCTTGCGGTCACTCTTGTTGCTGTTGGACGTTGTTCTTATTGTTGATATCAGCAATTCTCCCACCTACACACATACATACATACATACGTACATGTGTGCATATGTACTTAGCATATACTTCTGTCAGCGTCCATACAGCAATTGCTGTTGACGCGTTTGTTGCTGCTCGAAACAGACAACGAAACGGCGCAGCGTCGAAACAATTCATTAAATGGTGTATTTGTGGCACTTTGTAATATACCCAAAGTTCAAGTGAATCTTCACTCGCAAGCCACACCAAAGTGTTCAAGACTTACTTTTGGTATAAATATTCCTGTTCATTCTGCTTGCCACACAGTATACAACAAACACTTTTCAAGTGCTGTGTGTGGTGTGTCGCCTGAACATTCTCGCCTTCATTGTGTCAAGAGTGATATCCTTGCAACTGAATAGCCAATTACTTAGTGCGCTTCTAGAAATATCCTGCTTGTGTGGAAACATAAAAGTTAATAATGAAAATAATTGTAAGTTTAAAAAAAATTTTGAGAAAATTTACAAGGATATTCGTCGGAAAAAAATTATAAATAAATATTGTGAAAAGATCGCTTTGTGAGCTGAGAAAATGTGTGGTTAAAATGAGAAGGAAAATGTCGTGCCGAAGAAATTTACGATTAATCGAAAACGTCAGTTACACAGAAACAAACAGCCGTCTAGGGATAGCATTTTTAAAAACTTTAGGTTTCCGTCATTAATAAGGCTCACTTAAAAGCGATTTAGTTGGTAAAACAAGTTGTTTTGTATAAATACAATCTAAGGCGGGTAATATGGGGATAAGGTCCGGTTGTTATCCACTTTTAGCTAATATATAACCGATGAAAGTTTTAAGTAATTGCAGTCTTAGCTTATAATTGCTTCCTATCTGTCAAATTTCTCTTTCTTCTGTTGTCTCTAGAATATTCTTGGATAAATTTTCTGAATATATAGGATAAGGATTCACGTAAATTAAGAATCTTGAGCAATACTAACAATGACAGTAAATGACTGTTAGTATCTAATCAAATATTACGCAATGATTCTTCTTCTCTTCCTTCTTTCCCTAGTAATTTAGTTCAAGTTCTTCGTTTCTTGTTGCCGCCAGTTCGAAAGACAAATAGAAAATTTGAAAATAAACACCTGTTTTACTTAATTATTAGCTACAACCAAATCTTTGTCAAATTGAATATTTTCGGAATTTGCATTAATTTTAATAAGTTCTTACCAAGCTGTAGGTTTTAGTTTTCTAAAATATCTTTACGTCATTCCAAAGATCATAAATATTATACTATTTACTATAAACCCATTGCCCCTTAGACCCCATATAGAACAATTTAAGTGAGAGCAATATAATTTTAATCTTTCAGAGAGAATTAAAGGGTACTAACATTGATTCCACGTTAGATTATGTTCTATGTCTGTTCCTCAAGATAGATATCACAGACAATCCTTTGCCAAGCCAGAAAAGCTACCATAGTTGGGGCTTAGTCATCTAGTCATCTAATAGTAAAAATCAAGAAAACAGCGGATTCATGTCCGTGTAGTAGCATGGATATACTAGGACGAAATTAGTATCAGAGACATAAATGAATCGGGATAATTTTCGAAATGTATAAATGAAACATGTGTATATTAACATTTTGTAATAAAGTTAATTTTATTTATTTGTAATGCAAATATTAAACGAACGACATAGAAAATTTTATTTGAAATATTAGGTAAAATAAAAAGTTCGTTCGGTTTTTTAATTGATTTTTCAAAAGATGATAACTTTGTGTACATTTGTGAAGACTACGTCCCTATTGCCAAAAAACTCGGAGAGCCAATTTTCACAGGCCTCTCTTGAGGCCAACTTCTCACCATTAAGCGCGTTCGCCATGGACAGAAAAAGATGGTAATCACTTGGTGCCAGGTCCGGACTATAAGGTGGGTGCATTAGAACCTCCCATCCGAGCTCCAGAAGCTTCTGGCGAGCCACCAAAGACGTGTGTGGCCTGGCGTTGTCCAGATGGAACACAATTCGGCCTCTGTGGATCAAAGATGGCCTCTTCTGGATGAGTGCTGCCTTCAAGCGGTCCAGTTGTTGGCAGTAGAGGGCCGAATTGAGCGTTTGGCCATAAGGGAGCAGCTCGCAGTAGATGATTCCTTGCCCATCCCACCAAACACACAGCAAAACCTTCCTGGCCATCAATCAGGTCTTGGCCACCATCTGGGCCGCTTCCCCGAGCTTTGACCACGACCGTTTGCGCTCGATGTTGTCATAAGTGACCCATTTTTCATCGCCAGTCACAATCCACTTCAGAAACGGGTCGATTTTGTTGCGATTCTGCAGCGATTTGCAGATGGAAATTCGGTCCATCATGTTTTTTGCGTTAGTTCGTGTGACAACCAAACATCGAGCTCTTTTTTGAATCCAAGGTTATGCAAATGGTTCCAAACGGTTTTCTGGCTTATCTTTAGTTCCTCAGCAATTAAATAAGTGCTCACGGAACGGTCTGTTTCCACTATTTCCATGATTTTATCGCAATTTTCGACGACAGGCCTCCCGACGCGTGGTGCATCTTTGACATCGAAATTACCGGAACGGAACCTAGCAAATCACGTTCGTTTACAGTATCGGGCCCAAACTAAATTAATGTTTTCAGCCGCTTTGGCTGCTTTTTCGCTTTGATCGAAGAAAAATTGTAAAATATATCGAATTTTCTCTTTGTTGGTGTCCATCTTTGACGAGCGCCCACAACGAACTGAAGGTAAACTTTTAGCGCAAATAAACACGTTTTCAGCGCCGTATAGTATGACATGATGCGACACGTAACACTAGTACTATGGACAATAACGCCATCTCTTAGATAAAAACCGAACTAACTTTTTACTTAACTTAACCTTTTATTTTCACACAAGAAATCAAACGATTCGGCCATTGATCAATAGCAGCACACACAGTTTACCTATATCGGTATTGACGAAGCTGCTCGAACTTCCAAATTTTTGAGGAGTAAACGACAGGACATATTCTCGGCCTCTGACCACAAACTGTAGTCCAATGACTTCCAAAAGTCCAATAATCTGCAGCTATGAAACCAAGAATATTGCTTTTAAGCCACAGCTGAGTGGTTTTTGCCCTGCATGCTGGAGCAGAACCTTACGGGAAAATTCAATGTTGTCCATTGAAGAGAGTATTGCATAACTGCTTTACTACGCCTTCTAAAACATTCTGTTAGTAATCTTTGTTACAGAATTGATAGCAAGACTAAATACTCTTAAATCTAGTTATTTCAATAAAAAAATCCGCTGTCATGTTGACACAAGAGAAATTTGTTATGTAATTTTTGTTGTAATTCCAAAGTTTAGTCGCACTTCGTTTAATATCGTTTATTGGTCAGTAAATTTCAATTCCAATAAAATTATCGATATACGCAGACCATCTAAAGCTAAATTAAAAAAAAACTGATGACCATTTGATAATTTATACATAGTATATACATATGCACATAATGCTTCTTTTTTATTGATAATTGTCCCATTCAGATTAGTTTGTTGATCACCTTGTTGCTCGATGTCATACTGGCGCGACCTCAGGGCCCCACCACCGAACCCATTCCCATAATACGACAAGAGCAAGAGGTCAATTTCGATGGCTCGTACAAGTACTCGTACGAAACCGGCAACGGCATACAAGCAGATGAGGAGGGCTATTTGAAGAATGCGGGCTCCGACGCCGAAGGAACGGTAAGATTTAACAAACTATTTACGAGCATAAAATATTGCTAAATCGAGATGATAAATGCACATGTTAACGTATGACTATAATATATATACAAATTTGCTTGCCACAACAACGATAAATCAATGCAATTGGCGCGCTGGGCAAAATATTCGCTGTAATTAAATAAATTACTACGCTTTGTAGACGCAAATAGCGGTTCACGAACTTGGAACGCACCCATTACTTACATGTCAGAGTACTAAGACAAATTGCTGAAGAAGCGTTTGGTTCAAAGCGCAGCATGCGGCGCAAACGCCGATAGAGATCCGCAACCGCCCAATAAATTGCTGCTGCAAAACGCTTCGTTGTTCGCATGCTGAGAACGTTAGCTTTAGTAAGCGTTTAATCAAGGAAATGTGGTTGCTGTCAATGTTGTTGTAATGCAGTGTATTGGTGAGTGTATGTATATGCGCATGAGCTTGGATTTTTCGTTTGGTTGTGGGCGTTTGTCACGTGACTAGAACCAGCGTTGTGGAATATTTAAATGCGATCGTAAGTATATATAATATTATATGTATGTGTGTATGTGAGTAGCTCAATAAGAGAAATAATGTGCACATAAACCACAGCGGCGGGTCATAGCGTGGTCTGCAGATGACGCCACAACTAACACCAACATTAACAAAGCTAAGCAGTAAACCAACTTCGGCGCCTTATTGCTCATTGCGCGCTTCACTTGGCTGATCAATTTCTGCATTAATTCACTAATGTGAGGCCAACATGCTCAACCTGCGCGGGCCGCGTTCGCCTCAAGCGCGCCGAGTGTTTGTCTGTGCCAGTAATTTTTTTTCTAAGCTTAGCTCTTTCAATACCTGGGCACATAAATTGCGGTGTGGCAAACACGATTCCGGCGCGCATTGTTGCCCAATGATTCACCGCGATTACGAGCGCGCAGTTCAGCGGTTCAGCAATGCGGCAGAGCGACGGTAATCCAGATTGACATTTGGTGGCCATTTACGGTTGCTGCAAACCCACTAACCCACCTTCAGCAACATTGTTGGCAAGTCACGAATTGATGTTCAACAAAAATTATCACTGAATGCCATTAAGCGCATTATTTTCTTTCAAACATCTTCTAAATGAACTTTCTTTCTTTTTTCTATTAACTTTTCTCACTGCAGTCAGCGCAAGGCTCTTTCTCGTACACCTCACCTGAAGGTGTGCCCATACGCATCACCTATTTGGCCGATGAGAATGGTTTCCAACCGCAAGGCGATCATCTGCCCACTCCACCGCCAATTCCACCAGCCATACAGAAGGCGCTCGCATACTTGGCCACCGCGCCACCTCCGCAGGACCAGACCAACTCATTTGCGGGCAATCGAAGGGGTTAAAGCGTGTGAGAGGGAGTAATAATAACAACAACAAAGCTGTGAATTTACACTGCTGTATGCAAAACCTATGATTAACACAACATACACACATACATACGCGGGAGAAGACAACTGCACACACGTCTGTAGAAATTTGAAGCCATGAGAGAGCGCAGCGAATATATGAGAGTGGTAAATGAAAGCTATTATGCCTGTATAATGGATGCTGCCGTGGGATTTACTTTATACGAAAATACTCATTTTACGAAATATACCTAAATGTTTACTACATAATTAAAAATATCTATTGTAATAAAGTTTACACAGTCTAAAAACATGTATTGAATTGGTCTATTAGGTTAGTTTTATAAGCGAGTGGCATAATAATGCTACTGTGTCTGATATAATTGTAGTTGCTTATTTTTGAACCAAACTCACCGAACTTGAAAAATAACGGCTACTAGTCTTTCCTAATCCATGTTTAGTTATTCTAGGCGGTATTACTTTTGCGCTCGCTCACAACAGGTGTTTTCGATTCGCCGAGCATTGGAGAGTAGTAAATCCAACAAACAGTGCCAGATGATCAAACAAATTGACAGCTCTTGAGGGTTATCCTTGAGTTAAAATATCCTATGTATTTCACTTCTCTCATTAAAGAAGTAGAACTTGACGATCAAGGTTTTTATGGCAGTTAAACATTGGCTATATTTCTTCTATTTGAACAATTTCATCGGCAATTGTACCGTTGTCTTAAACAATAACCCACGCTAAATTTCATGACGATAGCTCGTCAAGTTAAAAAGTTTTCCATATAAGCGCTTGAACGGTCAGTTTGAGGACAGCTGTATTTTCAAAGTTCCCACGTTTTCTTCTCTTGACTAATTTATGTGCATAATTTAATTGCTAACGTTTTCGAAAATCGATTATTTCAATTTTTATTTTATGCTTTACTATAAAAGACTACAAGATGATTGAATTGAAACATATTTCAAGTACATTTTCTTAATGTCTATCAAATTATGCAAACATTTGAAAAACCAACAATATAAATTTTTCGGAAAAAAATAGAAAAATGGGAAAAATTTCACACTTTCAGAAATAATAAAAACAATTAAGTATCTAAGTAAATATACAAAGTTTTCTTTTTATATATAGAAGCTGTATAGAAGCATTAACATAGTTTCTAGGTGTATAGTTTAATGACTCAAAAACGTAAGTAAACTTAATATTATTTAAAGTTGTTTAACACTTTGTATCTTCTATATATTGACACATATATTTTCAATTAAAGCTCAACCTTTTTCAATTTTCGTGAGTTCGAAAATATTTGCATATTTATTTACAGCTGAACTCATATTGATCGACTCAATTACATTTTTTGCTTTTTCCATTACATCGCAACAAGGTGCTTTTTTGATTACCTGTTTTTTTCATTATTTATATTAATTGAAAATCTAATTGAAACCATAACTTTTACTAGATAAATGAACAAATGTTTCACTAACAATATATAAATTTATGTTTGTGATACTTGGCTGTTGACGTATATATTATAGTAATTTACTCGTAAGTATTAGTAATTTACAGTCAATACTTTAGCCATAGTTCGAAATCAGCAATAACAGTAAATCGATTAGAAATGTATTTTATTAGACCTTGCATAATTTAATATACTAAGTATAATATTCAATAGACCGGAGAGATGGCTTATGAAATGCCGATAGGTTTGTGTTTATAGCAAAAACAATCAGATCAAATACTTGTATGTGCATTAGCGGGTATTAATGTAAATAATACTAAAAGTACTGAAGTGTTGCCAATAAATTATGATTCAGTTGACTTTGATCATTATAGATGCACGTCATTACTTATTAACAGTACGCATTGATTGTAAAAACTCGCTTTGCGCCAACATTCCGATCAACAATGTAGTCATCCTAAATGTATGCTCCATAATTTATAGCATTACAGTTAAATATAGATTCCAAAGCAGACAGGTATTGAATAGGGTGTATTCACATTTGTTGGCAAAATAATGAAGCAATTAGTGCTTTGTAAAATTTAAATTTCAAGGAAATATGTATATTTTTTTAATTTAAAACTTATTAAGGTCGTTTTATTACATGAAGAAAAGAAATCGGCTATTATATACCATACAGATACTCATGCTTGGTTCCACTAATCCGATCATTTAAATAAAATGTTTTTACTTATTACAAATAAGAGTCAGTCATAATAGGAATTAAATTTGTTCTCTTCGCTATTAGCATTAAGACTATGATATATACATATTTATATTAGCGGTCTGCGCTTTACGGTTTCTTTTGTCAATAAATTTACATATATTTTAATATATTATAGGCAACAATAAAGTTAACGAGTTGAGTTCGGTTGAAAAAACATTTTTTTTAATAGATTTTATAACCTTAAAGCTTGAAATAGAATAAAACTCTTTCTAGAAAATGTAGGGGGTAATGAAAATGTTTTTCTTGATTTTTTGTATGCTACTTTCTAACACTTGCTAAATCGAATATAGCATGTTCCTTAATTATGCGGACCCTTGTTAATTTTCTTTGTCAAATATCCTGTCTAAGCTCTGAATGAAATAATCTATAGAAAATCTGTTTCAGAAAGTTACTCTGAAGATAATCTCTTCGAACACGCATTAAGCGTGGAAAGTATTATACAATTACTTTTATCGTTGCAAATACCACAATTTAAGACACTGCATAACTTAATATTATATACATCTTTGAGATTCGTAAAATCGTTGACAAAAAAACATTATTTTTTTTTTCAAAGTTACGACCTAATTTTTTAAAGGCACTTTTTGTATATGTTTGTCAAAAATTGTGAGAAATCTTTTATTAATGCGATTTTACTTTTATTTTCTGCTGAAAAAGGTTAGTAATAATTTGACTGTACAGCAAAATCGACTTTTTTTCTATGTATTGGACCGAACGAAATATTTTGGAGACACTGATCAAGAAGTAAAAAAGTGATATCTCGGTTTTTCCAAGTTAACCTTCAAAAATTTTCCTTTGAAAATATTCGAAAAGACAATATATTTCAAAGATTTCTACCGTAATATACCCTGAACAGTTTGCCATGAAGTTTGAAATAACATAATCGATCACGTTGACGAGCTGAGTCGATTTACACATATCGGTCTGTATACACGCAAACTAGTCCATCAGCTTTTGAGTTATCGATCTGAAATTTTTCACACGACCTTTTCTCCCCAAGAAGTTGTTCATTGGTCGGAATCGTCGATATCGGACGACTATAGCATACAGTTGCTATACAAACTGACTAATTAAAATCAATTTCTTGAATGGAAATTTTTGTGAAGGGCATTATAACTTCGATGTAACCGTCCCGGAAAAAATGATCCTGGCCCAGTCGCTGCAAAATATCAATAAAACCATTTCTTACATGCTTCAAATTGTCAAAATTAGTCCACTTTTAGGACTTTAGACTGACTTAGCCCCTTAATAGAAGCCGTCTATCTGGTAAACAACGAATTTTTGGAAAATTACACAGATATGGTAAAGTTGAGTGAGTTTGAAGATTGCAAATATTTGAGGCCAATGTATGAGAGCAAAACGAATATCTTAATTATACTTTTCAACCATACGTACTTAGTTAGCTTATTAAGATTTTTCCGAAGATATTATTTGTAGAACTTTAGAAGAAATGCCGCTTTTAGGCAGTCGAAACCATTTTAGTCACTTTAGCAAACCTGACATAATTAGAGTTAAGACTAGCTAGACTAGTCACGTGATCAAGAAAACTTCCTTAAATACAGAATCCCCATTTTCCATCTGGAATTATATTGTTGCATTACCCTATATAACAATTTAAACATTAAGTTAATCATATTAATTACCTTGTGCCATTTTGATGCCACCGCTTTTCGACGACTATACGTAAACAAATATGTAGCATACATAAATATATATAACAATGGATACTTTACACCAACACTACTGCATATACAATAAATACGAAAGACATTGCAATGGGAGAAGTAACGCACTCTACAATATGGTTGCTACAAAACCGTTGCTAAAGCCTAGAATGAGTTTCATAGTTTTTGATTACACATCTTTTTTAACTCATCAGCCCTGGTGCACCATCAACATCAATATCAACATCGTAAAATGCGACACTTTATTGTTGCAAGTAAATGCGTTCAATTAAACGAGATTTCTGCAACCGTTCCTTTTACTCGTAATTCCGTAAGCTGGTGGACAACAATGACTCGCACAGAAACGCAACCAGCCACTAAAATAATGGTGCGCCTATAAAAGCAACAGCAACTAATTTTCACATTCATTTAATATACTTAAAGCGTGGAAATATCGTCATGTGGCCGAAAGTAACGGTAAGTACGCACGTCACAATTCAGGATTACAGCGCAGATAATCAGGATAGCCACGGTTGATTCTTCCACACAGCTAGCCGGCTTAGTAGGCGTAGCGGCACTCGTCGCTATTGCAAGTGCGCAGAATGATGGACGTTATCGTCCTACGCCCGTCCTGCCCTATTATCAGCGCTCACGTACGACCCGTCTCCGTCCTACTGTCATTGGTGACGGTCGTTATCGTCCGAGTAATGATGGTCGTTATAGAGGGGTGAACGATGGACGTTATCGCGGTGGCAATGATGGCAAGTATGTGCATCAAGATGTGCCGTATGTGCATAACGATCGGGCCGGTGGGCAATATGAAGCCGATAAGAACCGGTTTAGACCCGGCAGAGGTGACGTCGGTGGCGCAGGTACGTTCGGTGGAGGTAGGCGGGCAGCTGCGAGAGGTAATGCGCTGGGTTCAACGGGATTAGCTGATAATCGCGCGAATTTAGCAACACGAACGTCAATAACACGAAGACCGACACCGAAATCCACGATAGTTACACCAGCACTAACGAAAGGTAGTGGTACGAGCGAGGGTGGTAGTGGTTGGCGCATCCTGCAGCTTTTCGATAAAGAGGAAAAAGATGGCTATCATTATATGTAAGGGTTCTCAGTACAACAATAATAATTGAAGAAATCTTTCTTCTAACTCGCATGTCGATTCTATGCAAGTACGCTATACTTAATATAAAAATTGCAAGTTCGCACTGAAAATCCGAGCGCACTTAAAAAATATTCTATAACAAAATTCTAACATTATTTATTCAATTTAACGAGCAGATAGCGAGTAGTTAACAGCAGACTGTTTCTGTTACATTTACTTCACTGTTTATAAACATTATGTATTCGCATCACATCACAGCCGGAAAGTATGCTTTGAATCAGTTCTTAATTTTATTTTTTCCAGTTATGAAACGGAAAATGGCATTTTAGCGGAGGAAAATGGACGCATCGAACAATTAGCTCCGGAAAAGGAAGGTTTGCGTTCGACGGGATTTTACGAGTATACCGGCGATGTTGGTGTGCTTTACCGTGTCGATTATGTGGCCGACGACAATGGCTTTGTGGCGCGAGGTGCGCATATCCCTACTCCACCACCATATGTAGCCAAATTATTGGCGTACTTGGCTGCGAACGCCAAGAATTAGTTATTTAAAATTGTTTTAATATTAGTTTCATCAAATGCTCATTTATTCATTGCAAAAGCTGCGGTAAAATTTTTTTAATATTTTCTGAAACAAATGTATCTGCATTTTTCGCAGAAATATCAAAATTACCATATACAAGTATACTTGGTTTCAAATCTCTAACAGAAAGGGCCAAGTACTTATTGGAAAATGTGGCCCTAATTTTAGAGAAATAACTAGCAACACATCATGATATTAAACCACTCCTTTCATCCTTATATACTTGTAGACAGTCGATTGTTAATTCGAATGTCAAATATCTTTCGAGTTCACAGCAAATACAGTGACTGCTATAAAGTATACCCATTTCCAATATGTGTTCCCCAATAAGAAAATAGACCATTATTGTAGCTTTAAGTTATTATATACCTTAGTTCGAGCTGTTTATCTTTGTCCTGTTATCCTTGTGCTAGTTGAAAAATTTCAAGTGAAGTTCTCTCCTGTCTTCGATTTCCTCACGAGATGCTTCGGTCATGGCGAATTCGTTATCAAGTATTTTTCTATGGCTGGGAACTCAGATATTATTAGGTATCCAGTTGTGCATCCCGCCTACTAAGGATATTACTACGACTAAATTAGCTGTAACTGCAACATTCTTACTCTCTTAAGGGGCACATCTCGTGTGACAGCCTTAAAAAGACGAGGTTTGGGTTACTGTATCAATTTTTTTTAAATGTTAAGAATACTTTTATCAATATTTTAGGAATACACAGTAAGAAAAAATTGCTTACGGTAAAAATAAAATCAAAAATTGATAAAGTGGCAGCGTTTTAAAAAAATTGAATTTTACCAAATGTTTTTGTCGTGATCGTCCTTTCAAAAATCGATTTTTGATCAGATCAAAAAACTCTTAGGTCTTGTATCATTTGTCTCCAAGAAGTCACTCAAACAAATTTTAAAAAAGTAGTTTTGAGAAAAAAGCGTTTAAAGATAAATTGATGATGCGCGTTGAACTGAGCGGCTATTTTAGAAGGCTGTAACTTAAAACATATTTGATGTATGTTATTTTTAAAGGTATTAACTATCAACACATAGGTATCAAATTTTCGACTCTTCTACGAATGTAGACACGATTTAATGAGCCCTATAACCTCTTCCCACAGTACACTCTACATATAAAAGACTTCATAGATTTCTTCACACCAATTTTATTATTCGTTTTCCAATTTTGTTTCAGTCCAGTGGAGATTTAATAGAATCGCACAGATTGTAGTCGGTAGCAGACCTAACATGTTAATATAGGACAAATTTTTCATTGGACCGTTCGATGGATTCCTTAGAATTTTTTTACGGATGAACAGTAAAGCTGTGGACCTTGTTCGCTTAACCACCTACAATTTAATTATTTCTCTAAGGAAATGCATTGTTTTTTTTTTTTTCGAACATATTTTTCGGACTACTATAGCATATAGTTTTCATTGAAACTCAAATTGTTATACGTAAACTTCTTTATTTGTGAAAGTTATTCCATTTTTGGTACAACCGTTGTTAACGTTTTTCTTGTGCTTTCCTTTTGTCACCATTTTCCAAATCAAAAACCTTTTAGATCGGAGTGTTGCAGCTAAATGCTTTGCTTATGCAATTAGTTTGAAGTTTTTGTATGTAACCATGCCTTTGTAGAAGTTCAGAAAATAACAAGTCAGGAAGGGCTAAGCTCGAATGTAACCGAACATTTTATACTCTCGCAAAGTCAAATGGAACATAGAAATATAAAAATAACGTTATGCACCGAATTTGGTTGAAATCGGTTAAGCAGATTCCAAGATATGGGTTTTCACCTAAAAGTGGACGATGACGCCTACTGACGCCCACTGACTAATGTTGAACGCGGTTCCTATAACGCCATCTCATACCGTCCCAGAGATAAAATTTAATGTCTCTGGCGTGTTTAGTGCTTAGTTTATCGTGCTTTTAGTATTTTTTAATAGTATCATTATAAGGGGAGTGGGCGGGCTTGTCACCCGATTTCACCTATTTTCACACTGTATGTAGAGGTGCTAAAAACATTTGTTTCCATGGAGTTTTGTTATTATAGCTTAAGTGGTTTAGGAGATATGCACATTCAACTTATTAGGGGCGGGACCACGTCCACTTTAAAAAAAAAACTTTACTGCAGATACCCCTCCCTAATGTGATCCTTTGTACCAAATAACAGTCTTGTATCTTATTGCGGAGCTTAGTTTTGGCAATTTATTTGTTTTTGATTAATGGCGTTTTGTGGGCGTGGCAGTGGTCCAATTACGCCCATCTGCAATACCAACCGTTTTACGGTACCAAGAAACATGTCTACCAAGGTTCATAAAGATATCTCAATTTTTACTCAAGCTTGCACGGACGGACGGACAGACGGACAGACGGACGAACGGACAGACAGTCACCCGGATTTCCACTCGTCTCTTCATCCTGATCATTTATATATACATAACCCTATATCTAACTCTATTAGTTTTAGGTGATACAAACAACCGTTAGGTGAACAAAACTATTATACTCTGTAGCAACAAGTTGAGAGTATAAAAATTATCTAGAATCCATTTTAGACAAATAACTTTAGCTGCCGAAAACTATAATTATTGAATACGATAGTTCAAAAAATATTTCTGACTTTGTGCACTATTGGAAAATATCCTTGGGAAATATTAACAGATTTTAGTAAATACTTCTTCTACGCAAGCCACGAACACATATAAAAAATTAAAGAAATACTTCTCAAATATATGAAATTTTTTCACAAGAGCATTCAGCTTAAAAGAGCGTAATTCGGAAATTTAAAGAATAGCTTGTTTAACACAAAAGTTTGATGAAGTTTCCATAACACTGGTTAACAAAATGTTAACTCTTTCACATGAAAACTCAAATAAAATTTTGAGAATATAGGGGCCACTAATCAACAATATGTGAATGAAAAAACACGTCAGGTTCCAGACATATATTTTCTTAAAAAGTACAAACATCAGCTACATTTAGAGAAAGTATTCCCTAATATAGAAAAAATACTTATGATTTTCGTATTTGGCTTCTGGAAAGTCTTTAGCAAGTCTTCAACAATAATTTGCCTGCATTCGTGCTTTCCATTTCCCTTGATAGCGCTTCTTCTTTAAGGAAATGTCCTGATGAAACCTCTCGCCTTATTCGCCACTCACAGCACCCAAATTTGCTGGAAAATTGAGTCGAGCATAGATATTTTTATAGAGTTATTACGTTCACAAAACTTTTCTAGACGAGATTTTCCTGATCCTTCAGTTTTTCTTTAACATTCTAATCCTCTATAAGTTGCCGTATTTGTGACCTACAAATATCCGCTTTTTAATTTTTCTCTTTGAGATGTACAAATTTCCTGCCATTGGATAATCGTGATTTTCTGATCGATTTGAATGGTTTGGCACAGGCCCCAAGACAAGTTTACGTACTGGGTAGTGTGTTTTGACTTGGTTTTAATGCCTTTTGTTTGAGTCAAATAAAAATAACAATCACTTAGATGGTCCTTAGGTTCGAGCCAAATATAATGGCATATGTCTCGGTTCTTGTCTCACATATGTTACACAATTTATCTTGATTCCTCACAGGATAGTCTAGTCACGAAATAGTCTAAGTAGTGTTCAGTGAATCACGTGAATATACGACGCTGACGTTTAAAAGGTCGTTAGAACCCATTCGTGGCATGTTTACATTTTAGCAAACTTATATATGATATAAGTTAATCGAATGCAATAGTTATGCAGTCGAAAACTTAACTTCATTTTATTTACAAACAGACACGTATATAAGGTTAGAAATGAAAATGTAGCTGTAACACAAAAACTGTGTGTGTGACAAAAACAGTGTTTGCCAGTGTAATTAACACAAAAGGTGCATCATTCTTCACAGCGGTGTTAATATCAGAACTTCCATCAGATTAAAGCATCCAACTAGTAGACTATCCGGAGTCTTCAATCAGCACCCAATTATACATCAGGCAGGCTGAAAAATTCGTACCATATTCTTTAATTCTGAGTGCAGGAAAAAGTTGCTGAAGCCACACCTGCACTGCTCAAGTAATAAGTATTGTCTGCGTATTCAGGAATTTATGATACGATACATAGGTTTTTAACTTATACAGTATCCACTTTGCAAAAAACTTTCGGTTACCCAACTATTCATTAAAGATTTGTTCTTTGTTATCTTTATAGTGTCAATTACCTCGACTAAACTGATTTTCCTTATTCAATGGCTAATGGAAGGAGAGCATGAATAATATTCAATTTTTATCTATTGTATTTTGTTTTATAAAAATCAAAATTTGTCTTTAAGGTCTAACTACAAAACATATATGTTCAATTCTACTGACACCTTCTGAAGGAAATGTTAATAGCTTAAAATTTAGCACTGCAATGGGTTTTGAAATTTTTGACATTTTAATTATATTCGTTCAATCGTTATAGCAATTTATACCTGATTTCTATATAAATATACATTAAGCAATTGTTAATATAAATGTTAAAAAAGTTTAGAGCACAACCTTTCAGGTGAACTCATTTCAAAGGTAAAGAGGTCTTCAAATCGACTCGGCAATCGGAGAAGAAAAGTGAAGATCAGCTAAACATTTGGCAATGATGAAAGATCTAAACTATTACGTATTGACATTTTTAAAAAAAATATTTTAAGTTCCAGTGTTTACAGGCACAGTATAAATATATTACAAGAGTGATAATTAGTAGCAAGAAAAATAAAAGGTTTTTGACCAGAGTAAATGCTGTCTTTTTACGTTAGTGTTGGCAACACATTTGTCTGAATGTAATCGAGCACATCACTTATAGTCGCTTGAATGTTGAATTGCTATAAAAATAAAATGTGTAAGAATAACACGAAAACAAAAACAAAAAGTATGTGTGTATTTGCTTACACTCGGAGCATTTAGCTCATTGTCATTCGTATATTTCACATTATAGATATCATCTTGGTACTCGCCCGAAACATGCACATTAGTCGTATCTCCTTCCGTTGTTTCCTCTGTCGCAGTCGATTCCGTATCAGCATTCACATCTACTGAAAAAAATGTGTATCATTCAAAAAAACAACTTATTTTACTCCTTTAACTCTCACCCTTACCATAATCCGCAGGCCACAGTTGGTTTTCATACTTGTAGTCGTAATGCATCTTTACGTCATCGTCGTTCACCCACTCGAACTGCACGATTTGCCAACCACTGCCATCATAATTAAAATCTATAGAGAAGCGCAAGTGATCCTTCGGTCCCAATTGGAAGCCATTCGGCGTGCCGAACTGATGCGGCGGCAGACCACGATCATCGTGAACGTACATCTGGCCACGATCCCCATAACCACCGTTATAAGGCACTTTAACATGATGATATTTCCCACTTTCGTCGGGTATATACTTCCCACGATCAGCGCCATGCAACTTGGGTATGTAACGGCCATTACGCAGTGGATTAATCCGGACGGCGTTTCTCTCCGTGCCTTGAGGACGACATTGGGCCTTTTGTACAAAATATAGCAATAAAATAACTAGTGTTGTGTGTATGGAAAAATACGAAAACATATTTGCACGCAGGATAAAAGTAAATAACTAAGATTTAATTTTCGAATTATCAAGTATACGCCACGAAGGCCGCGCGATTCGACGCCTGCAACTGTTTACACGTTACTGAACTACGAAATTGCTGCAACATTGCATGCGGGTTTCCTTTTTGTTGGTATTTATTCTCATTAGCTAAGCAAATATTTTCTCGAATTTATTAACTCGCACAATTATGGCGCTTGATTAGTGGAGCGCCACTATTGAATTTAAACGCTGTGAATTATGTGCGTCTGTCTTGTCCCCAGCTGATAGCTTGTCATTGACACTCACTGATTTATAAAGGGTCTTTCGAAATGAGCGCATGTTGTAAATTCTTCGGTTAAACACACATATGATCAAATATGAGCGTTATCCCGGTATATTTGACCATAAAGAGTCCTTTAACAAAAAATTACAAGGTGAAATTTAACAGAATCAAATGTCCGGCTGAACTCAGTTATTGGCTAGTTCCAGATGATTCAATTTGGCGAAGAACTAATCAGCTCCTCTAACGAGCGCCCACTAAACTCTTTGAAAGTATGGTACTTTAACACAGTGTTGAATAGCAATAGTTAACTTTTTTTTTTTTTGGTTTCGAGCTAACTTTCTGCTAATATGACAAATTCTGCATCTGTTATGTTACACATATTATAAACAAGCACCAACAAAATATCGACTCGACCTTTTTGAAAAACCCCTTATAAATTTATAATGAAAATATTTTATTCAACCCGTTGCGAAAAAATTTATATTATTCTATGAGATAATTATACGTCCATAAAGAAGAACTGCACCGCGTCTAAAAAGAAGTGAATCGTGTTGGCAAATTTGGGACTATGAACAAGTTCGTACAACTAACTAAATTTAAAATTCGTACACATCTTAAAGTGCTATCAAGTAAATAGTTTGTGTTTACGAACACACAACCCTCCAAGCTTTCCGGTTTCGGGATCCGAGTAAGCAAGAGTTTATGTTTCCCTTTCTTAAATGACATGATGATGATGAGATGGCATTGAGTCTGTTTTGACCTTTCTTGTTAGCTTGAAACATTTAAAGCTTGTGTTGAGAATATACTTTTCCAGGAGGGTTATTGTCTGGACTTTTAACTCTATTGGAATGTCAGAAATGTTTTCAAAAACAGTGTTTCAGAGCAAAAATTTACTACAAACAATTTATAAAGCTTAGGCACATTTATGAATATTTTCGAGGCAATCTAGGGATTTTTATGGGGACTTTGCAGAAAATTATATTTTAGAAAACCTCGAGACGAAATTTGTACTCACCGTACCTCCTATCTGTTCTGTCCTAATTTGACCACCTGGTTGCCATTTCCACTAAAGCCTCGTCAGTCAAAGCTATTTTCGTTGTAATACCTAAGTTTATTAGATATATACGCCGATTTGTTTAATTTAAGCTCAATAAGATAAAGTAATGTAACTTCGTATCGTCTTTGGCAACACTGGAAAACAGCAATGATATTTAAGACTGTATACGTGTGTGTGTATTAATTATCACTTGAAGACGAAACACATAGTCATTTAATACGAAAATTATTACGCGTGAAGTGGCATGGAATGCGAAACAATGTTTTCAAGCCTGCTTGCAGTTGAATACGAACATGCTGAAGTACACTTGCACAATTACATATACACACATAACTGTGTATTTAAGAATATATTTGACAGTTCGCGGTGTTGTTGTAACAACAAATTCATATTTTTCCAATCGGTCTAATTAATGTGACGCCTCCGGATTAGAGATTGAAAGTAATGTGTTTGTTTCGTACATCTAAAGTCGTATTTTTAGTGGAGAATTCCATAAATAGATATATTTTCGAATTGCCCAGGAATGACGCATCATAATTTCAGGTTGCGCTGGTGAAAAACAATTACTGTTTAGATATCCATATTTAGTAGGATAGAGAAATATATATACAAATTAGGGAACTAATAACTTTAACATGAATAATATGGAGCTGGGGTAATGTAGATTTCTCCCATTTTCGGAAACAAACTATAGTATATCCAGGATAATATGTTCACCTTATATTGTTAAGATATAATATATTGTATATTCCGAGATATAAAAGTATACGGTATAAAGCAAACTGGATGTTTGAAAACCCTTGTATAATATATAAAGAGGCTTGTAAAAGCATTGACCCGCTTTTAAAAATTCTTCACTCCAGTGCGCATTATTATCAGGAAAAGACGCACTCTGAACTTTCCTAAGATATCTTACAGAATAATCGATATTTTCAGTAAAGGTCAGTCCGATTTCTACCATCATCATGTATGTGATTTCTACCATCATATCTGTATTTATATACTCACTCAAAAACTTGTGCTAGTGATAAAGTGAACTTCGCAAAATACTTCCGCAATATTTTCAACGATTCCATAGTGGTGATTTAATTGGAAACACAAAATTTATTTATTTAATAAGTCGAATAAAGTTATTCTTCCTACGAATTCTTCTTAAAATTTAATATGAAATCGGATATCCCTAACATTTTTAAACTTCCGCTAAGGGTTTTGGCATGGAATATACAAGCTTAGAAGTTTCTGTCGAAGGTATGTAAGCCCATTCCTCATGCAACCCATCCTTGAGCATATCCTTTGAGGTAATTATGCGTTGGTGGCTTTACGTCCCAGTGAATCTCACAGGCGCTATTTGGGATTAAAATCTGGTGATTCTGGTGGTGTTTGGAGCTGCTTGGGAACGTTATTGAGTAATTAAAGGTTTACTATGTCTGCTGTAAGCTTCGAGTCGTTATTCTGTAGAAAATAGGAGTCACTTCTAAGACCAAATTCTACTGCTCTTTGCTTCAAACTTATTTTTAAGATATTAAGGTACGCATAACCATAGTGGTCTCTATAAAATCTATTTGGCCCACACAGTTACTAGCTATGCACCCCCATATCATTGCTTCTTCACCACCGTTCCGTGCCCGTTTTTCGCCATAAAATCTTACGACGCTTGATTCCAAAGACGCAAAACATGCCCTCATCGGAAAAAATAACTTTCTGTCAAAACTCCCAGGGCTTATGTAACTGCTCTTTTGCGACAACATTATGCACTTACCTATTGACAAGCGATATGAATGATTTTTTGGAAGTTTTTTAATTTAGCGAATGGTGTCAGTGCAGAGTGATTTCTTATAATTGTTTTTAACATCTTGATCGATTTCGAATGCACTAAATCGAAGGTTTTGCTCCACAGGTTGTAAACCGTTACCTTGTTTCACGCTGGGCTAGTATTTTTGGCCGCCCTGGACGCGCCGAGATACAAAAACTCCGGTACATTTGTAATTTTTTTATTATTCTTTGTATGAAAGAATATGTTCTCCCAACTCTTCGAAAAAGTTTTACCATTATTTTCCTTTCAGAGGAGCCTATTTCTTTTCTTTTAGCCGATATTCGATTATCTAAATTTAATAACACACTGTAAAAAAACTGTAACTTTCCGCCACATTTACATTTGATTATTACGTAGGGAATTTCCATTTTACTATTTGTATGCAGACTTTTTCCGCGCTGCAAAATTACTATTTTTTTCATTGCTTTAAATGCAATAGGATTATGCAATAGACTAGTAATAAGACGCTTAATTCGATTATGCTCTAAAATTTAGAATATAAAAGTTATTTTTTAACAAAAGAAAATACATAAGATATTACGTGTACGCAGAGTTTTTCTGGCGAGTGTAGGTAGCTTAATTTGTGAAACCTGTACATAATACCTACTAAGGGCGGGGCCTCGCCCACATTTAAAAAAAAGTTTAGTTCACAAATGCCCCATTTTTAGAGGATTCCAAATTTCAAAGCATTTTATAATTTTCCGATTGATTTCATTTTATGGGCTTGGCATTGATATGATTGAGTATGCGATTTTGCAAAACCAATTTCCTTAGAGTCTCAAAGAACATACATACGTGCATATGTATGTATGTACTAAGTTTTCTAATTTTGACTCAAGTTATCGTTTGTATGGACGGACAGTCAGATATTAAAAACAAGTAAGAAATAGTTAAGTTTGGGTGTAACCGAATATATTATACTCTTCAAATTGCAAAGATCAAAGCAGGGATAATACCTTCAGGTGTTAGGGAAACTTTATATTAAAAAATGTTGCGAAACAATTAAACATTTATTATTCGATAAAATTGTAAATGGATTACAATCAAATTTGGTAATTTATTAAGTTACGAGTATATTATATAGGCCTTAGAATCGCTTTGTTTGATTGCTATATTTTACTTCCCGTCAGCTAAAATTGTATTAAAATCATCTTTAAATTAGATATATGAGATACAAACTCAACTGAAGAAGCTAAATTTAATATAACGAGTCGATGTGAAATCGTCAAACAGAGAATCGCAATTCATTATTTTAGGGATATAAGGTTTGAACCACTGTCTAAACCAATTTCATTCGTATTCAGTGGTAAACCACATAATTTTTAAGGAAACTTGTTTTATTAAGTTTTTTAAAGTCTCACACATTTTGTCGGGTGGTAAGTAAAAAATTATTATACAAGCTATATTGGGTACAGAGGAGTTGATAGGCTGATTGAGATCATATTTTCAAGCAATTTTATGAATATATAACGCACACATTGAACCACATGTTCGGCATAAAGTTTGTTAAAATAACGAAAATCAATATATGTAGAATATGGGAGTGGGGTAACTCGTACACTAAATTCACATATTTTCGGCATTAAACTATAGTATATCCAATATAAATCAGTTAATTTTGCTAAGATATCTTCCATATTGACTGATATAATGGCAAAAGGCCAACCGGTTGTTTAAAAATCGTATGTTAGATATATGAGAGATAGGGATAGTATTGACCCGAATTTATCTATTTTTGGCAATACAACATCTTTTTATGAAGTATATTGTAGCTTTATGGTTTAGGAAATATGTACATTAAACCTATTCGAGGTAGGAGCCACAACCATTTTTTCAAAATTCTTAGCCTGCAGGTGCCCCTTTCTATTGCAATCCCCTGTACCAAATTACAGTTTTGTAGCTTAATTTGGAGCTTGGTTGCGATTAATGGCCTTTTGTTGGCGTGGCTGTGTTCCGATTACGCCCATTCATTACGATATCTTATTTTTTCTCAAGTTACAGCTTGCACAGACAGATGGACAAGCGGACGGACAGACAATGTGACAAGCGGACGGACAGACAGATGGACAATCGGACAGACAGATGCACGGACAGACAGACATCCGAATTTCAACTCGTCTGGTCATCCTGATATTTTATATACACTCGATTAAAACCGTTAGATGAACAAAGCTATTATACTCTATAGCAACATGTTTCAAGGGTATAATAACTGTTGTAGCAACATGTTGAGGAAATACGAAGTAGTTTGTACTTGAATTCAATATCTGGTATTAGAAGAGATAGTGAATAGAGTTTTGTAATATTAATGCTGTAAGTATGCACGTCCTGATATCACAAATTTTTAATACCGAATGGCATAGTGCTGGTGGAAATATTCTCATGTAAATTTTAATAACATGTCATATAAAGTCAATCAGAGGGAACAAATTTAATAGAATATATTGGGTATATGAAGTAAACGGTAACTATTCAACGGACTCACTAATCCAATTGTATCAGAATGACCAAAATAATTATATGCAAATTAGGGGAACATACATATGGACCGGCTGCTAAATTCTGAACAACACTGTGACTAAGATAACATATTTACTTATTGTCATTAAAATATTTCATAAATTAATGGATACATTTGGCAATATAATAGAAAAGAAGGGCCACCGAAATAAGCTCGTCCCAGGTCACATGAGATTACATAATATATGGAAATTAATATACGATGTGTTCAAAAAATAACGGAAATTTTTGATTTTTGAAAAAAATATGTAATCATTCGTCATTAATGTTGTCGCCTTTAAAATAGTCCCGTTGTTTTCTGAACACGCCTCTTGAAAAATAATATCATGCAGAAATTAAATTTTCAAATAAGGCAATATTTCAAATCATACTCCAATATTCACATTAAAAGTCCCTTATTGTTGTACCTGTTCGTATTATATTTACGTTGGTGTACTTTTGCTGGTAATTTCCAACTTTTTATAAATTTATTTCATTATCTTAACTTATGTATTTAATATATAGATGAAATAAATCTTTATTGCTGTGATATTAATTGAACTTATTCAACAAATTTACAAACAAACAATTACTTTTGCACATACAAGTACAAGCCATAAATTCAGCTCGGATTTCAAGTGTGAATAAAAGAGTGAAAGAAAATGACATGAATGCAAAATTAACACAATTAAAAAATTGGTATTATAGGCGCTAACAAAAACACTTGAGACTAGCAACGCATATATTGATGCATTCATATATAAATATGTATATATATTGGTACATACTACATAAGTGTATGAAAGTTGCAGTTCAATGCACGGAGTAATCTGAAAGGCAATGAAAATCATGCAAAGCGATAAATTAACTAGCTAAGTTCGGATGTATCTGAACATTTTATAGTCTTGCAATTTATAAGGGTCATAACCGGAGACATATTTTCAGGTATTGAGAACATTTTTATCAAAAAAGACGTAAGAATTCAAGATTCATTGTTCGATGAAATTGTGAATGGATTAAAAACTTATTTAGTGGCCGAGATACTTATATTAAAATCAACAGTATTAACTTAAATTATAGTAGAAATATGTAATATAAACTCAACCAAAGAGGAAAATTTCACTTATTGGGCTATCAGCATAAGAACAACGAGAAAATCGGAAATCTTTATCTTATGTATATGGGGTGTAAACCTAAGTCTAGACCGACCAACTTCATATTCAGTATCACACTTTGCTTGGCATAAAATCTGCTAGAATAACTCATATTCGCCATCAAACTATACCTCCAATATTTGCAGTTCACTTATTTTTGTTAAGATAACTTATATAGTGGCGGATATATTCGGTATAAAAGTCAACCATTAGTTTGAAGTTCTTATATTAAATATAATATCAGAGAATGATAATTTTTGAATTTCAATAATCTATCTTCGATCCAACAGCCATCCAGTACAAATCCACGTCTGAGGTTCACGTATTCGGTATATGAGGACTTGAAAAGTTAAAGTCCGATTTGAAAAAAATTTTAGACGTGACATTGAGTACCTTGGAGGCACTATTTGTGCAAAGTCTTATTCCGATATCTTTACAAGTGCTTTATTTATATTAATGTGAAGCCCTTATGTATCATTTTGGATGTGAAATTTAACTAGTTATACTCTCGCAACTTGTTCACCTAACGGTTGTTTGTATCACCTAAAACTAATCGAGTTAGATACAAGGTTATGTATATACAAATGATCAGGATGAAGAGACGAGTTGAAATCCGGGGGACTGTCTGTCCTTCCGTCCGTCCGCGCATCTGTCCGTCTGTCCGTTCGTCTGTGCTAGCTGTAACTTGAGTAAAATTTGAGATATCTTTATGAAACGTGGTACGAATGTTTCTTGGTACCGTAAAACCCACAAAACGACATTAATCAAAAACAAATAAATTGCCATAACTAAGCTAAGATACAGGACTGTTATTTAGTACACAGGATCACATTAGGGAGGGCATCTGCAGTTTAAATTTTTTTTTTTTAATCGGGCGTGGTCCCGCACCCTATTAGGTTTAATGTGCATATCTCCTAAACCACTTAAGCTATAATAACAAAACTCACTGGAAGCAAATGTTTTTAGCACCTCTACTCACAGTGTGAAAATAGATGAAATCGGGTGACAACCCCGCCCACTCCCCATATAACGGTACCATTAAAAACTACTAAAAACGCGATAAACCAAGCACTAAATACGCCAGTCACATTAAATGTTATCCCTAGGATGATATGTGATGACTTTATAAGAATTTTAGGTGAAAACCCATATCTTGGGATCTGCTCAGCCGATTTCAACCAAATTTAGTACATAACATTATTTTCATGTTTCTATGTTTTAGCGCGAAAATGGGCGAAATCGAATTAAAACCCCGCCTATTTCCCATATAACACCATTTTCAATTTCATATGATTTTTTCACTTTCCAGTATGCAAATCAAGCAACAATGATTATATCGGGGTAAAACTCGTGAATAATACGTTTAAAGTGTGCCACCTTGTGACTAAAAATTTTCTAAATCGAACCAAAACTGTTCAAGCCCCTAGGTACTAAATATTTGGACCCCAGTGCCTATAGTTGACCTTCTACCGAAAATATCAGCCAATCCACACAGAAATCTCAAACGAGTATACCATTTGACTTTGCGAGAGTATAAAATGTTCGGTTACATCCGAACTTAGCCCTTCCTTACTTGTTTTCAATATAATTTCTATATTGGGACTTCACTACAATTGTGATTGTTTTTAAAATTCCTGCGGGCGGCAAATCACGCTTCGGAATTGCCGATGATTCGTTAGCAGAGTATCGCATTTAAGAACGCCCAGTGAAATGGGGCAACTGTCTGTTATTAACTATGGAAGAATAGCTGTCATCCAAAGAACTATTTCATTTAATCCGATTGCAAAACCGCCGGCATTGCTGTTGGATATTTGGCAGTTGGTTTGAGATTTTGCGGAAAAAGTTATATTCCTTAAAGCGTTATTTTAAGTCAAACCACATTCATTTCGGCTGCCAATTAAATTTGGCGTCAACTCTACACCAAAGAAGATTCAAGGAGGGAGAAGTCTTTAAACCAAAAATAATTAATTTTAAAATCTAACAAATTTCTTTACTAATTGGACAAGGGTTAAGAAAACACAAACAGCAAATATTCGCCTAAACTTTCAAAATTGATCCCCAGTATGGTGAATAAATAATTCAGTTAGCTTCATTGATTTGTCAAATGAAGTTTTTTATTTTCTATTTGTGTTACTATTTAATTTTTTATTCTCAAGGAATTGAAAAGCTCACAACAAACAAATGCAGAGAAGCGTCAAATTCTGTACTGGAAGTAATTACGTTGGTATTTATAATAACCCCTTGAACTGCATGGAAGGCTATGGGCTTTACGTATATCCCGATGGCAGCGAATACCAGGGGTTCTTTCGACGCGGTCGCTTTCACGGCATCGGACGTCTCACTATGGCAGCACCATATTCTTTTACATTCATCGGCGAGTTCGACAATGGTGAATTGACTATCATTAATAAAATGATCTATCCGGATGGTTTGATATTTAAGGCCAATTTTAATAAAACGAAATTAAATACCGCTAATTGGAATTATCTCAGCAAAACTGATCGTCGCTATACGCGTGAACTTTGTATGGACTTACTACCTGTGGTGCCAAATGAACCGATTTCACGTTATAGCCCACGTTCACTTCAACCGAACAACTTCGATACTGAGGAGGGAATTTTTGTCGAAAAGAGTCGCTTCATCACGAAAATACCGCCACCATTTTATCACTTACGCTTTGTTAATTGTGATAAAGAGATCGATTGGATACGACAATATTGTCGCCACGATGACAGTGACGTAGTCACTGAGCCAGACGAAGCAATTGGACGCCAGATTCTTGAGTCTAATATCAGAGCGTCTACGGAAATAGGTGAAAATCTGTACACATGTACATGTAATACAGATAAAGGATTACAGACAGAACGTTTAGGAAAGTTTTGTCGACGTGCTTTTCATGATCCCGATAATACATCTTCTAGTTCACAATACTCGAGAGATTATAAAGATGCGCCTAGTTCAATGAGTACCAGCTCATTTTTGGAGGTTCCCATTAAACTAGATATGCAAACGCAGTGTGATAACGAAGTGGCACAACTACGCCTAAAGCCCAATGATCTCGGACCAGAATATTTTTCATAGAATACAATATTCATCTAAATGGAAACACTTGCTAGTGTAAAAATTCTACAATGCAACTCCTTAAACATCATATACACATAAATTCTTATTTGCATAAGTGCTTTTGATAAGGAAATATACGCATATTGCTTTATAAGATCTTCTGTTTATTCTTATTGATCTCATAAAATAATTTTCAATCAATGTATCTATAATAATATATAAAGCATTGGAATTCTTTAGACAATGAAGTGCTGGACTTTATCCTCGGCCATTAAATAACATCGGTTTCAAATAACACACAATTATAATATCACATTTTTTTCAAAAGTCAATACACTTCTGCTTAGCTCCTTTTATAAAAACCTTGAGTTGAGTGGACTATTAATAGGGCACCATCTCCGTGTAAAGAAGTATGGATCCGAAGTCATTGAAGAAAAAGTGCTGAAGAATATTTGCCTAGGCGTCTTCTATGAGCTCCGCCGTTGTCGGAAATTCAATTTTCTATACGTTAATATTATTTTTCTTTGGATGTCAAAAATCAAAAATCCTTGTTGGTCGAATAAACTCTCGTTAGAACTAGCCTTGCTGAATGCAGTAAGGAAATAAAAGTAAGACAACTTCAAGAAGTTTTGTGAGTGGCAGCAAGACTATACAAGGATCTAGCCAAAGGAGCCGTTGAAACTAAATTATCAATCAGACAGCCATATGGCACCTTCACAACCAGCCTGGATGCGGTCTCTGCGAATCCAGTAACCCAGGCAACTGAAAATAGACCAGCCCCTTTGGACCTAAAGGTGGCCTTGGATATCTTCACCAACAACTCGATAAGATGGACAATCAGCCCTTTTATCAAGTTTAAATCGCCAGGTGCTGACGAAATCTTTTCAGCCTTACTCCAAAAGGGAGTAGAGCATTTCGTGATGAACATTGTAAAACCGGTGAGAGAGATTCATGTGCATATTTTCGTTCCGAATAAGCGTAGAACTAAATTTGTTATCATCATACCTAAAGTAGGTAGGAGGGACCACTTTCTGGCCAAACTTAAAAGCATGGAGAGGCTCGACACCAGAACTGCATCCAAATTTAACACGCATACAGAGCTGGAAGATCTACGAACACTGCTCTGTACAATCTGGTTACCGATATCAAGGATGATTTTTTCAACGTGGATGTAGCAGCAATAGTATTTGCAACACCTCTCATTCCAGTATTGTTAACTTTACTATGGAACCTAATTGTAAATAAGCTTCGAGACTTGTTGGACTCTAAAAGCGACTGTCGGGTAGAATCCCATCGATGAGTACTTACGAAGAAAGGTATACAGACGGCTCCAAAGCGATAGTTGTAATATGGGGTGCCAATGGCAGATTTCCAAATATTTTCAAGCTGAGGTATTCGCTATCAATAGGTATGCAAATATTGTTTTGGAGAAAAACTATAATGGTGAACGTATTACCATTCTCAGTGATAATTCAGCGACACTTTAAGCAATCTCGTCCATTGAGATCAAATCAACAATGATACTAAAGTGCATCAAAATGCTCAACAGGGTTGGCATGAGTAAGGATATTTCATTAGCATGTATGCCTCCCGGGGCATAAAAGTATTCAAGATAATGGGAATGCCGACCTTCTAGCGAAAGAAGCATTGCAACCAGGCCAATAAGACAGAAACATTTCTTCGCTGTGGGCCCTCATACATTGAGAGAAGGAAACTGGCCTAAAGACCAATGTCAATTTGTTCGACCATACGGCAGAAACACCAGAACACATACTCCTTCGTCGCCAAGTACTCTAATTAATTTTTTGAATATAGATGTCAATATGGCCGGCTACTGTACGAACTCTGGGTTAAAAATATACAATGCATATTTTTCAAACGCACAAAAGTTAATAAAAATTAATATATGTAACTTTTAAAAAAATTATAAAGTTTTTATGAAAAAAAATAATAATAGTCGGTCCAACACCAGTATGTCCCTAATCGAAAGAACTCTTTCCGACATTGACGGCCATAGGCGATCCAACACCAGAATGCTCATATTTCTTTCGCGGAAGAAGAGTCAACCCGACAGCATTTTTTCAAATTACTTCAGAGATGTTTTTTGCCGCAACAACAACAAATTTTATTGGACAAGAAAACATTTTGACATTCAAGATTTGAACCTCTTCTATACGTCTTATTGTGAGAATCTCTCAATGCTCTGCAAAATTCTTTATTATACTAGGTTAGGTTAGGTTAGGTTAGGAGGTCGATCCCAGAAGGGATCCCACTTGGACAGCTTAAGACGCCAGTCCGTTGTGATACCTACGACTCCTATAGTCCGGATCAAAAGGCGCTTACAAGTCGACAAGACGTCTTGTGCTGACTACAAACTTGTTAAGACGGCCAATATCCATTACGGATAGGTATTCAGGACCGCCAAACGTGTGATTGCCGAGATATTTCAATCGCAGCCTAGCGAATGCCGGGCATTGGAGGAGAAAGTGCTGGGATGATTCCACCTCACCCTCCTCCATACAACTTTGGCAACTGGCATCGGGTAGTACACCAAGCCGTACCGCATCAGTGCCCATTGGACAGTGTCCAGTGAGAACTCCTACAATAGCGGCTAGATGCACTTTGCTCAGGGCGAGAAGTTCCCCCGACCTCCTGCGATCCACTCTTGGCCAGAAGGATCTCGCGGTCGCACAGGACCTAGTCGTCGACCAACGTCTGCTGAGTGCACGCGAGGTCCATTGATCCAAAGTTAGAGCGCAGGATGCTAACGGAGATCCAACCCGATCCCATTCCGATGTGAGCGGGGCAAAGGTGCCCCCCTTGGCTAGCTCATCGGCTTTGCAGTTTCCAGCGATTCCGCTGTGACCAGACACCCAAACGAGCCTGATGTTGAAATAGCCAGACGCTACCTCTAAAGAGGACAGACACTCCTTGACTAGCTTTGATTGCACGGTACGCGCGTACTTCGCGGCAATGCACCTACCGGCAATGTCCACAGGTGCTATGTTTAAAATAGCATTAAAAGCTAGTGTAGGTGTGGTCCGCAGTGCACCGGAGATTCCGATGAGCGCCGCTCTTTGGACCCTTTCAAGCTTTTTAGCCAGTGTGGTCCTCTCAAGCGCCCTCCGCCAGACGAACACACCATAGAACATTATTGGCTTAACCACGGTTTCGTAGAGCCAGAACACCACCTTAGGTGAGAGTCCCCACCTTTTCCCCATAGATCCTTTGCAGCAGTATAAGGCGACCGAAGCCTTCTTAACTCTCTCCTCTATATTTGGCCTCCAGGAAAGTTTGCTATCGTGGATGAGCCCTAGGTATTTCACTTTCTCAGCAGGCTGAAGAAGTGAACCCCCGAAGGAAGGGAGAGGCACATTTGGTATCTTATACCTTCTGGTAAATAAAACCAATTCGGTTTTACTTGGGTTGACGGCTAGTCCGCTTCTATTCGCCCACCTAGATACCACGTTCAGGTACCCTTCGGTGAGCTCGTAAACGGTATTCAGGAACTTTCCCTTAACCATAAGAACCACATCGTCAGCGTATGCTGTCACCCGACAGCCTTGCGTCTCGAGTTCTATAAGTAGGTCGTTAACCACCATTATCCAGAGCAGTGGGGAGAGTACTCCCCACAACAGTTTACCCCTCGGTATTCTGCTCTTAATGTACAGATCCATAAGCCTCTCCAGTGTTTTCAACAAAAACGAGGATAGGCTGATGGGTCTGAAATCTTTCGCACAGACGTGAGAGCTTTTGCCGGCCTTCGGAATGAAAGCAACCTTAACCTGTCTCCAGACCTTTGGGACATGGCCTAATCTGACGCAGTTCGCGTAGGTAGGAGCCAGCCAGCTCAATGACATCTTGATCGTGCGCTGCAATTGCGCAGGAATAATGCCATCGGGCCCCGGGGACTTAAAGGGCTTGAAGGATTTCAGCGCCCAAGTAAGGTGACGATCGTCCAGAAGGTCCAAGAAGGCTGTACAGCCCTTCTTCAGCAGAGTGATTTAGTGGAAAATGAGCATCCAGGAGTAGTTTCAACGACTCCTCGCTACTCGTTGTCCAACTACTATCTGCATTTTTTAGATACCCCACTGGAGTAGGGTTTTTTGCAAGAATGCGCCTAAATCGTGAGGACTCATGACAGCCCTCTACACTACCGCAGAAGGCTCTCCAAGAAACTCTCTTGGCTTTCTTCAACTCGGACTTGTAGATGGCCAGTCCGGTCTTGTACAACGCCCAGTCGTCGCCAGAGCCGCTTCTACGGGCTTTGTTGGACAGTCTTCTGCTCGAAGATCTGATCTCCGTTAACTCCGAAGTCCACCAAGGGGGTTTCCCTTTGATTTTCTGAGTTCTCAGAGGACAGGAGCTGTCAAGAGTAGTTCTACTGACAGAGCTGAAAATCTTGACGAGCTCATCAACCGCACCCGCCGATAGGATCGAATCCCTGTCGGGTTCGGGTGGCAAAGCTGATCGAAGCTTCCTGCAGTACCGGACCCAGTTGGTATTCCTAAAATTTCTATAGGTTTTGAGTTCCGGGCATGAGGCTTTCAAGCTGAAACCAATATATCTATGATCCGAGAATGAATGGTCGTCTAGAACCCTCCATTCCGAAATCAAGGGAGCGATTTCCCTAGAGGCTAGCGTAATGTCAAGGACTTCCGCCCTGCTAGCAGTAACAAAAGTAGGGCTGTTCCCCCTATTACAAATAGAAAGATCTACTCTACAAATAAAATCAAAGAGTTACTCACCTCTTGTGTTAATGTCCGAGCTCCCCCAGACGGTGTGCCTTGAATTTTCATCCGAGCCTATTAAGACACTGGCTCCTTTGCGCCTGGCCTCTGCCAGGGCTCTTCTCAGCAGGTTCGAAGGTGGCTCCACCTCGTCGTCGTGCGGCATGTAGGCTGAGAACAGCCAGAGTTCTCCAGCGCTGTCCTCCAGTCTAGCAGCGACGACGTCCTCGTTGCTGAAATTATGTAAAAGAAAAACGTTAAGTTCGTTTCTGATCAACAAGCAGGCTCTGGTTCTACCTGTACTGTTTGCGGCCAGGAGCTTGTGGCTCCTTGTCCTTAGACCAGAGATACCGTTGCTGCTCAGCCACAGTTCCTGGATAACGACAACGTCGGCTTCGTCCCGTCCTAGACGAAGCACTAGATC